GCAGTGTGGTAGAAAAGCTGCTGAAAGCTGCCTTTCCCACAGAGGAGTTAAAACCTTTCTTTCCAGCAGATAAAGTCACCATAGCTTTCTATGCAAAATGTGGAAAGGCTTCCCATAGGAATTCCTTCCATTTTATAATTTCCACTGGATGGTGAAGATTAAGGTTTCGCTGTCAGCACACTTAAAGTACAAGTTGCCCTTTTAAATGTCTTTTTGGAAAGAAGCCTAGCTGCAAAGTCTCTCATCTCCCGATTCTTTAAAGCTCTTTCAAGATCCAGACCCATTCCAGTGAATACCTTCTCTAGGTTGGATCTCCTAATTTCCTGTGCAGGGGTTGATTAGAGCTTCTTTTGAACCTAGGAATTCTCTATTACTTTTAGGACAGCTCTAATTTAGCTAGACACATCAATGAAATCCAAAGCCTATCTATCAGGGAACCCCTTTCAAACCTTTCCACACTTTAATGCAAAAATTGTTGTTAAAACCATACTGGGCTTCTTGCTTAATAAGTCTAATTGGTCACACGATATTGTGCTATCTTCTTTTACCCATACTTCTAATGAAAATAAGTATTCCATATACTAAATGTCAGACGTTGTGTGTTATCGTACTTGGAACAAACCAAAAAAGCAGTTACATTGCCAAATTACTATATGCTCTTATTACACTATTGGCTTGGATTTCTCTCCGCTGAAGGATAAATCCTCTGAGAGAAATGTTCTTCAGACGGTTGTACCTCCCTGACCTGATAAGTTCTATGCTTACCCACTCAGATGCTGCCCTGGATAGACAACTGGGAAAAATCAGTGTTAGACTTGCTGGTAACTCTATTTTCAGGAGTCTTTCAGGGCAACAAGGATTCTCTTCCTTTGTCTGTTTATTCTTTCAGTCATTCAGTTATGTTACAAGGTTCTCAGACAAAATACTGGCAGGGTGCCTATAGGGACCTTCTATTAAATTCTGTGTAGTCCTGCCACTGGGGTGTGGAGCAATGCTCTCTCTGGTTCTGTCCTGGAATACAGTACTTTTGAAAAAAATAGAGGTACTGGTAAGTCTTAAAGCGGAGTTCCACCCAAAAGGGGAAGTTCTGCTTTACAGATTGGTCCCCTGCTCCCCATTAAGGATTGGCACCTTTTGACAGGTACCCACTCCCACATCTGCTGCAATCACCTAGGCGATCGGATGTGGAGGTTTTCCTCCTACCCTCCCTCCCCATAGTCTTGTGAGACACGACAGGTCCCAGAAGACTACGAGAGCATTTAGGAAGCGCAGCGCTACTCACGCATGCGCAGCGGGCACAAGGGCTGGGAAGCTGCAAGCTGTCACAGCCGGGTGCCCACACTGAAGATGCCGGCACCTGGAACACAGGACGGCTGGTGAAAGGGCTGCGGGGAGGACACCGCACGATCGTGGAACAGGTGACCGGCTATTTTTTGAAAGTCAGCAGCTACAGTTTTTGTAACTGCTGACTTTTATTTTTTTACAGTGTAAGTGGAACTCCGATTTAAGCTGGCCAAACAACTGATAGACAAACTTCAAATGAAAAATTGAAGGAGTCGGATGGAAATTTGTCAGTCAAGCAGTAACTGTATCATATCAGATGCAGTCACTGTTCGGGTATTCAAACAGACATGGACGCTGTGGCTATCTGAATACAATGGCTGGCATGGGTGGAATCTTTAGGATTTCTCTCATTCATCCCACAGGCTTTTTATCATTTTCCAAAAATAAAAAAATCCTGACAGTGTTGCTGAAGCATTATGTTGACAGTATTTTTCCTAGAATGCATCCATTGATATGCAGCAACTAAAGCTCATAAAGCATTTCTTCATGAAGGTCAGCTAAAGAAAAAGTAATTATTTTTGGACTCTTATCAAACAGGTGACTAGTTTTTATTTTTTTTCTGTGTTTTGAGTGTGAACAACACATTTTCTGTATTGTGGCCCCTTTCTGTGGCAGTATGCATGTGTCACTGATATTAAATTGTGTAAAAGGGAATTCTTAGAGGCAGAGAAATAAAAGCTCAAAAAAAAAGCCTGTTTTTTTCCATGCAGTGTGCATGAGCCCTAAATGTTTAAAGGATAAGTTCACCTTTTTTACCAAAATAATAAATACATGTTTTTTTGCAGGTAAAAATAATGTGCATTTGTTATTTTTGGTTGTGGGAGCCTGTAAAGCATTGCACCAGCGATACGGGATGTACAGACAAGCAGACATACTGACAGGAAGAATCAATGAACTACCACGGTGCTCCACGCTATGGTAGTTCATTGAAAATTACTAGGAGACAGCCACGAAGGCTATCTGGACTTGTAGTTCATGCATTCACAGAACTCTGTGAATGAATGCTGCAGCTGTGTGGGCGGAGCCCCGCTGTTTTTTTAAAAAGTGACAACTAGTACAGGGAACTCCTCCCCATACTTTTGTCAGAGGGAGGTGGTGATTGGGCAGCGGCTGCAGCATTGGGAACATGTTACACCCTAAAAACGGGTGGCACGTGTAACATATTCCCAAAGGTGAACTTATCCTTTAAATGAGAATGTTACATACTTGTCTGCCTGAGATCAGAACACCTGCATATCTCTTTGTGTGTTGTTTGTCATAAGAGTCCCCAAACTGGGGGGCAGGCATGCTCAGTATCCAAATTGAATTACACAGCTGTTGATTTGGCGTATAATTATGGCTGTCTCTTCCCTCCCCTTTGCATTTTACAATGTAATGTGCACACCTCTTTACTTCCCGAATCAAAAATGTATGGTATGGGCAGATATGTTGGACTGCTGAGATTATGAAACTGTCGGGTGTATGTATGACATATTCAAGATGTTGGTGCTCTAAACCAAATCCCTAATCATTCAGCCTTGCTAGCTTGCAAAGAAGACTTAATTAAGCCTACATTTAGATGTGCATCAGACCTAGCTGCCCCTTTGAAAAGTGATCCAAAGTGGGTCATCCGCAGTGACTGGCAGAGGAGGCAACATGTCGCCTCTTCACTGCTTGTTTTAACACTGTAAATTGTGCACATGGGTGGCCAGGGGATGGTGAAAAAAGTCAGTGGAGCCAGTGAGTGAGTCCTAATTCAGATTATTTTCTAATATTCAAATAAATGCAAAGGTCTTGGTTGCATATATCTGCATCTGCAAAATGGGTGCACCACATACTTTTCTCATGTTTCTATGTTTTTCACATATTTTAGGCAGACTTTTTATTGTACTTTAGAGCAGTTTTTGTTTTTGATATTGATTACCGTATTTTTCGTTCCATAAGACACACTTTTTTTCCCCCCAAATAATGGGGGAAAATGTCTGTGCGTCTTATGGACCCGGCCAGCCCGGTGTTCCCCCCCCGTCACCGCCGACGTGTTAAAATACCGGGCCTGCCGCTCGGCTCTTCTGTGCAGCAGAACCTGCTCCTCGGTCCTACCCGTTCCTCGGTCCAGCAGTGTCCTCATCATGGCTGGTTTCACCGGTCGTCTTCTCTCCCTGGCTCCGGCATCTTTAGTGTGGGCATCTGGCTGGTACAGCATGCGGCTTCACGGCCGGTTGCCCACTGCGCATGCTAGAGAAGCGCTGCTCTTTGTGAATGGCCCTGTAGTCTTCTGGGACCTGCCACGTATCCCAGAAGACTACAGGATGGGTGGGAGGGAGGACAACTTTTGCTTCCAATCGCCTAGGCCAGTGGTCGGCAAGCCGCGGCTCGCGAGCCACATGCGGCTCTTTACAAACTTTAATGCGGCTCTTCTGTGTGCCGGGCGGCCGCCCGACAGGAGGGAGGGGAGCGAGCGCCCGGCACACAGAAGAGCCGCATTAAAAGTCAGGACTCTGCAGCTGTCAGGATGTAGGCGGGGCAGCCAGGATGTAGGCGGGGCAGCGTGACGAACTCCTCTCCTCTCACAGTCCGCCCTGAAGACCGGAACGGCGCGGGAACACGGCGCGAGGAACGCGCGGAGCAAAGGTAAGAGAATTGACACAATATGGGGAATTAATTACTATAGGGGGGATGAATTACTATAGGGGGGATGAATTACTATATAGGGGGGATGAATTACTATATGGGGGGATGAATTACTATATGGGGGATGAATTACTATATGGGGGGATGAATTACTATAGGGGGGATGAATTACTATAGGGGGGATGAATTACTATAGGGGGGATGGATTACTATATGGGGGATGAATTACTATATGGGGGATGAATTACTATATGGGGGATGAATTACTATATGGGGGATGAATTACTATATGGGGGGATGAATTACTATAGGGGGGATGAATTACTATGGGGGATGAATTACTATATGGGGGATGAATTACTATATGGGGGATGAATTACTATGGGGGATGAATTACTATATGGGGGATGTATTTTCAGTTTTAAAAATGTGGCTCTCAAAATAAATTTCAATCGTGGTTTTGGCGAGATTTGGCTCAGTTGAAAAAAAAGGTTGCCCACCACTGGCCTAGGCGATCGCAGCGGAAGTGAGAGCCAGTACCTGTCAAATTCGGGTACCTGCTCCCCAAAGGTCTGCAGTCTCTGGTCATCTCCTGTACTATGTCTGCAGTCTCTGGTCATCTCCTGTACTATGTCTGCAGTCTCTGGTCATCTCCTGTACTATGTCTGCAGTCTCTGGTCATCTCCTGTACTATGTCTGCAGTCTCTGGTCATCTCCTGTAGTATGTCTGCAGTCTCTGGTCATCTCCTGTACTATGTCTGCAGTCTCTGGTCATCTTCTGTAGTATGTCTGCAGTCTCTGGTCATCTCCTGTAGTATGTCTGCAGTCTCTGGTCATCTCCTGTAGTATGTCTGCAGTCTCTGGTCATCTCCTGTACTGTGTCCGCAGTCTCTGGTCATCTCCTGTACTGTGTCCGCAGTCTCTGGTCATTTCCTGTAGTATGTCCGCACAGTCTCTGGTCATCTCCTGTACTATGTCCGCAGTCTCTGGTCATCTCCTGTACTATGTCCGCAGTCTCTGGTCATCTCCTGTACTAGGTCCGCAGTCTCTGGTCATCTCCTGTACTATGTCCGCAGTCTCTGGTCATCTCCTGTACTATGTCCGCAGTCTCTGGTCATCTCCTGTACTATGTCCGCAGTCTCTGGTCATCTCCTGTACTATGTCCGCAGTCTCTGGTCATCTCCTGTACTATGTCCGCAGTCTCTGGTCATCTCCTGTACTATGTCCGCAGTCTCTGGTCATCTCCTGTAGTATTTCTGCAGTCTCTGGTCATCTCCTGTACTATTCTGCAGTCTCTGGTCATCTCCTGTAGTATGTCCGCAGTCTCTGGTCATCTCCTGTACTGTGTCCGCAGTCTCTGGTCATCTCCTGTACTGTGTCCGCAGTCTCTGGTCATCTCCTGTACTGTGTCCGCAGTCTCTGGTCGTCTCCTGTACTGTGTCCGCAGTCTCTGATCGTCTCCTGTACTGTGTCCGCAGTCTCTGGTCGTCTCCTGTACTGTGTCCGCAGTCTCTGATCGTCTCCTGTACTGTGTCCGCAGTCTCTGGTCGTCTCCTGTACTGTTTTAAAAGTCTCTGGCTCTCAAAATAAATTTCAATCGTGGTCATTTGTGGCGAGATTTGGTCAGTTGAAAAAAAAAAGGTTGCCCACTCCACTGGCTCCTGTACTGTGTCCGCAGAAGTGAGAGCCATCGTCTCCTGTACTGTCAAATTCGCAGTCTACCTGATCGTCTCCCCTGTCAAATTCGGGTACCTGCTCCCGCAGTCTCTGATCGTCTCCTGTACTGTGTTTAAAAATGTGGCTCTCAAAATAACTTTCAATCGTGGTCTTTGGCGAGATTTGGCTGTACTGTGTCCGCAGTCTCTGATCGTCTCCTGTACTGTGTCCGCAGTCTCTGGTCATCTCCTGTACTGTGTCCGCAGTCTCTGGTCATCTCCTGTACTATGTCTGCAGTCCATTGGTTCAGAATTTTTTTTTTCTCTTCTAAAACCCAGGTGCGTTTTATGGAGTGAAAAATACTGTACTTTTTAAACAAGGTACAAAAACCAGTTAATAAATGTTCAAATTATATTGGTGTAGAGATGTACTAAACTTTGGGAATGTCTTCAGAAGTCTTTTTATTGACATCTGAATGAAGTGCTTTTCCCCCTAGTTTTCAGGAATGATTTTAGTTGGCAGGTAGGCTTTCTATCTGATTTATTTCTATAAAGGCTGAAAATAACAGCTTCTTCACTGGGGCTTCAAACATACTGTATCCTGACGCTTGTGTTTGCCATTTGTGTTGGATTAACCTCTCCATCTCTAAGGGCAGCATCACAGGAGATTTTTTAAATGGAGTTTATGATCTCAGCTGTGTTTTCTGGACTGAAGGAAATCTATCATAAATTAACCTTGGTGATGTAAAGTCCTGAAAATGCATAGTAATTACATGCTTTAATACAGTGCTGGAGATTAGAGTTTATACCAACCAAGTTAATTATGGCTAATCATTTCATTAAAGGCTTCCGGGACTTGATGGATTTCATGAAGGTGATACTCTTTGGTCAAATGATTGTAACAAGCCTGCAGTGTTTAGTCCATCAGTCCATTGAATAATTGAGGTTTTTTAAGCTTGAAAATGCATATGCTACATAGGTGCACTGTGTTAAGGCTGCATTCACACTTGAGCGCTTTGTAGCTTGAAGCTCCAAAACACTCAAACTTAAAAAAAAAAAAAAAAAAAAAAGATTGTTCTCTATGGCTCCATAGAGAACAATTGATTTTTTTTAAGTTTGAGCTTTTTTGGAGATTCAAGCTACAAAGCGCTCAAGTGTGAATGCAACCTTAATGAGAATGTCAACTAAGTGCAGACCAGCTCATTTTTAAAAAACAGTTCTTCCAAAAAAACATACCCCACTTTGGGTAAAGTAGAGCAGGCCTAATTACTTGTAGTCTTTTTTTTTTTCTGTTTTCTTTAACCACTTGCCTACCAGGCACTTATACCCCCTTATTTACCAGGCCAATTTTCAGCTTTCAGCGCTGCTGCACTTTGATTGACAATTGCGCGGTCATGCAACATTGTACCAATATGAAATTTTGATCATTTTTTTCTCACAAATAGAGCTTTCTTTTGGTGGTATTTAATCGCCACTGGGCGCTTTACTTTTTGCACTATAAATAAAAAAGTTGCAAAAAATTTGAAAAAAAAAAAAAGTTTCTTTGTTTCTATTATAAAATTTTTCAAACAGGTAATTTTTCTCCTTCACTGATGTGCGTTGATGAGGCAGCACTGATGGGCACTGATAGGCGGCACTGATGGGCACTGATAGGCAGCACTAAAGGGCACTGATAGGCAGTACTAATGAGGTGGCACGGATAGGCGGCACTGATAGACAGCACTAATGAGGTGTCACGGATAGGCAGCACTAATATGCGGCACTGATAGGTGACACTGATGATGGGTACTGATAGACGGCACTGACTGGCATCACTGCTGGGCACTGACTGGCGGCACTGACTGGCACAACCGCTGGGCACTGACTGGTGGCACTGACTGGCAGCACTGCTGGGCTGCACTGGTGGGTGGCACTGGTGGGTGGGCACAGGTGGGTGGCACTGGTGGGCACAGGTGGGTGGGCACAGGTAGGTGGCACTTCTGGGCACAGGTAGGTGGCACTGCAGAGTGGCACAGGTGGGTGCACTGCTGGGCACAGGTGGGTGCACTGCTGGGCACAGGTGGGTGATCTGCTGGGCACAGGTGGGCGGAGTTAGTGGGCACACTGCTGGGCACAGGTGGGCGGAACTTGCGGGTGGCACTGCTGGGCACCGATCATCAGGGCACTGATCATCAGTGCCCTGATGATCGGTGCCGATCCTCGCTCTGACAACTGCCGGTTCTCGGCAGTACTTTCCTCACGATCTGACAGCGTGAGGAAAGTGCAGCCGAGAACCCGCACTTGCATTTCCCTCTGATCAGCGTGTCATTGGACACCGCTGATCAGGTGGTAAAAGGCCGCTGTGATTGGCCTTTTACCACATCAAGTAATCAGCTGTGTCCGTAGGACACAGCGATCACGGAGATCGCCGGGTGTGCGCCCCCTGGGGCGCGCAGGAGAGCGCGTTCTGGTGGGACGTCATATGACGTCCACTCAGAACTGGCCGGCCGCAGTGCAGCCGTCATTCGGCTATCTGCGGTCGGCTACTAGTTAAGCCTGATAGACCACCCATTGTTTAGCTGTGGCAGGTAGAACATGGTTTTTCAGCAGAACTAATGTGCTTTGCCCCAGCTAATTTTAAATATTTGGGTAGTTCTATGATGCTCACAAGACACACATACTATATTGTTTATCCTTCATTGGGTTTTCTGTATGTGTATAGGAACTTGCCTAGACCAGGCACCCTGGGGTGCCTTGAGGTTTCTTCAGGGGTGCCTTGGCAAAATGTCTAAAAATTGCCCAAAACTTGTATACAAGCCTGCCTTATAGCTACACAAAGCCACGGTTTTCATTGTGCACCATTGCAACCTTCTAGCTGCTAGCATCCTGACAACCAATGACATCATCAGTTGATAAGGAGGATGTCAGGCGCCTGCACAGCATCCTTGTTTGACCCTCCCCTGCCCCTCTCCATCAGTGCTGGGGGTCACTTTAGCTCAGTGATGGAGAAAAAGTGAGGGAGAAGAGAAACATTGGAATACTAGTCAGTACCAGTGTGCAAAAGTGTATTTGCTTTGGAAGAATAAATCACCTCTAATGTTGGGTGTCCTACATGTGTGGATGTTGCTGCGTTATATAAAACTTTTCACATTTAGAATGGAGTGCTCTTTTAAAATTATGGACAGTCTTGAGGCACCCTATTTTAGAATGGGGTGCCTCAAGACTGTTCATAATTTTAAAGGGTGCCTCGGGACTGTCCATCATTTTTAAGGGTACCTTGACTGAAAAAAGGTTGAGAAAAAGTGACCTAGACTACTGAGAAGTTAAATTCCTCTTGGCACATTCATTCAGGGGATAGTAGAACATGTTGCTTTCACAATCTGATACAGCAGGAAGACCTTGTGTCAAATTGATCACACAATTTTAACCTTGGTTAACTCGGTCCACTATATGGAATGGGACTTGCTGTAGCTCATTGTAGTTAAAGCAGAGTTCCACTCACTCTGTCAAAAATTAAAAGTCAGCAGCTACAAAAACTGTAGCTGCTGACTTTTAAAAAACAGCCACTTCACCTGTCCAACAATCCCACGTTGCCCCCGCTGCAGCCCATTTCACTGGCCGTCCTGTATTCCAGGTGCCGGCATCTTCAGTGTGGCACCTGGCTGTGACAGCTTGTGACTTCACAGCCGGGTGCCTGCTGCGCATGCGCAAGTAGCGCTGCGCTTCCTGAATGGCCCTGTTATCTTCTGGGACTTGTCACGTGTCCCACAAGACTTCTGGGAGGGAGGGGGGAGGACAACTTCCACTTCCGATCGCTTAGGTGATCGCAGCGGAAGTGGGAGCGGGTACATGTCAAATTCAAAATTCAGGAACTCACCCCCCCCCCCCACTCCCCAAAGGTGCCAATCCTTAATGGGGAGCGGGGGACCAATCTTTAAAGTGGAACTTCCCCTTTTGGGTGGAACTCCGCTTTAAGTACATGTTTTATAGTTTCATTGTTAATAGTTCACAGCTTTTGAGGGCTTCCTGTTTGAAAAATCCAACCAAAATCTTAGCTTGTACGCTCCAAGGAGCAGGGCCCGCCTAACCCTCTTGTATTGAACTGTATTGTTGCTGTATTGTCTCCTGTTATTTTGTAAAGCGCTGAGCAAACTGTTGGCACTATATAAATCCTGTATAATAATAATAATATATAGATATATACCTCTTATATTGTGAGCTCCAAGGAGCAGGGCCCGCCTATCCCTCTTGTATTGAACTGTATTGTTGCTGTATTGTCTCCCTTTATATTGTAAAGTGCTGAGCAAACTGTTGGCGCTATATAAATCCTGTATAATAATAATATATAGATATATACCTCTTAGATTGTAAGCTCCAAGGAGCAGGGCCCTCCTATCCCTCTTGTATTGAACTGTATTGTTGCTGTATTGTCTCCTGTTATATTGTAAAGCGCTGAGCAAACTGTTGGCACTATATAAATCCTGTATAATAATAAAAATAATAACCACCTGCAAAAAAGGTTGAAATAACTTCCAGTTGAGCAGAATTGGGTACAATCAGATGTATAGTGAATCCTGTGTTCCTCACGCTAAGGCACATTAGTCTGTGGAGTAAAATCTTTGAACCTTGAATAGCTGTGTTAGACCCAGACACTGTTGATGATGATGAAGGAGTTGACATCACAGGGCCTTCTGAACTCCAGCAATGGGGATTATGATGGGGCTGTGACTGAGGAAGGACCAGTAGGGGAATACTGAAAAGAATGCAATTAAAGTGGTTGCTGGTAGGCTTTACACACAGACCGTGTCATCTTACCCTGAATGGACAAGGTCACATTTTCTCTTTCCAGATCAAATGAAATTGCTAAATCATTTTTACAGCTCCCCACTTACCTTACTGCATTTTATAAACCGGTACATATTCTCCTCTGGTGGTAATTTGACCTCCACAGTCCAAGGTGTCTCCCATCCAGCAATGCGGTCTGTGGGTGGTGTAGAAGTGAGCATACACCGTGGTACAATGTGATGCTGCTGTGGGACCTTAAACTGGTTATAAAGGCTGAAGGTTTTTTTACCCTTACAGTGCCTTGGAAAAGTATTCATACCCGTTGAAATTTTCCACATTTTGTCATGTTACAACCAAAACCATAAATGTATTTTATTGGGATTTTATGTGATCAACCAACAAAGTGTCATATAATTGTGAAGTGGAAGGGAAATGATAAATGATTCAACATTTTTTTTTACAAAAAAAAATGTGAAAAGTGTGGCATGCATTTGTATTCGGCCCCCCTGACTCAATGCTTTGAGGATTCAAGAGCATTGGCAGGGGACCCGAGAAGAGGAGGATCGGCGGTAACATGTTTGTTATTTAGAGAAAATGCAGCACCTTTTAATATCACTTTAAATCCTAGTATTACTGCACTACAAAGAGAGCACACAGTGAGGGCAGACTCCGTGATGATGGTAGGTCCGTCCTGTAGGTCTACAAGGGGTGTGACTATGACTTCCTTTGAGCAGCTCTGAGGAAAGGGACTCATCCCCGAAACGCGTAAGCCTCCTGACCGCACTGACAGGTGGAACACCTTGCCCGCTGCTGTGGCCATCTCCATTAGGCAAAAGCATTTTATACATGCTTTGTCCGTGTGCGCCACCTGTCTGCTCTTTTCCCAGTAGTTGATTCCCCCGTCTGAGGAGGGCTGCACCCCTGAAGCATTCTCTTTAGGCCACCTCTGTCCTGGTCCCCTTGGCTTCCCTTTGGCAATTCATTTCCTGGAGCTCTGGAGAGTACACACTATAACTTCCTGACCACTGGGGAAGATCTGGGAGGTGCTGGGCATCATTCAACCTGGAATTTGGGCGATTGCTACTGAATTGATTGGAGCTTCTATGGAAGACCATGGAGAAGGGGACTATTGCAAACTGTAATCTGCCATTCTGTTACTTACTGCGTAGGTCAGAGACTACACAATCACAAATCACAATACCGGCAACACTTCTGGCAATACAGCATCATTAACTACTATATTTTTCTCAGAAATGTGACACTTTTAGTCCTCATGCACACGGGTGTTTTGATAACGCTGGTAATGTTAGCTGTGTAAAGTGACGTTAAAAACGTGAGTTTTTTATCGTTTTTACATTAGCGTTTAGTGGTTTTTTTTCCCGCATTTGCATTTTTTAGCATTTTTTTTACCAAAAAAAATGTCCAAAAATGCCACATTTTTTCAGCGTTGGAGCATTTTTCCAGCTAAAAAACTCCTCTAGAAACCCACTAGTCCTGGGTTTTTTTCCAGCCAAAAAACGTTCCTGCCAAAAAACGTTGACTACAGTCTATCTGTGCATGGGCACATAGGATAACATGCTGGGGAGTTTACTAGCTGTAGAAAAAAAATGTCAAAAGCCAAAAACAGCTGCTGTAAAAACGTGTGCATGAGGACTAAGGAGTGTCAGTCTACTCTCTCTACTGGCCCCTATAGCTGCTTCCCCTAGCTGTGAGGAGCTCCTAGCACAGCCTTGTGTAATGTTATGTGACAGCATAGGCACAGGGCTATGGCTCAAATGAGAAAGCTCCTTGCTTCCACATAGATGAAAGTGAGACTAAACGTTCAGATTTTTTTTTTTAAGCAACAAACATGTCATGCTTACCTGCTCTGTGCAGTGGTTTTGCACAGAGTGTCCCTAATCCTACTTTTCTCAGGTCCCCTGCTGATGCTACTGGCTCCTCCTTCCTGCTGAGTGCTTGCTCTGGGGGCGCTTGTGCGTGCTTGCTCCCGAGCCACTTCTGTGTGCCAATAAGATACATAGAGCTTGGCCCTTGGTTAGCAATTCTGCCTGGCATTACTAGGGTTGTTGGTTCAAATCCCTACCACGGCACCACCTGTCTGGAGTTTGCATGTTCTCCATGTGCCTGCATGGGTTTCCTCTGGTTACTCCGGTTTCCTCCCACAATCCAAAGACATGCTGGTAGGTTAATTGGCTCCTGTCTAAATTGGACCTAGTATGTGTATGTATGATTGTGAGTTAGGGACTTTAGATTGTACGACCCCTTGAGGGTTAGGGACTGATGTGAATGTACAATATATACATAAAGCACTGCGTAAATTGACGGCGCTATATAAGTACCTGTAATAAACAAATTGACAGCAGCGGAAGCCAATGGCTCCCCGCTACTGTGTCTCAGCCAATGAAGAAGGGGAGCCGCTGATTTTGTGCACATTGCTGGATCAAGATTGGGCTCAGGTAAGTATTAGGACAGACTGAGGTAGTAGCACATTGAAGTTTTTTTTTTTTCTTTTGTTTTTTTTT